CGCAGGGACGCCGACGACCGACTGCGAGATGGATGGGTTCATACATTGTTTGAAATGAGTAGAATGAAAAAGGCATCAGTCGAGGGTTAAGCGAGTTGGCCTCGACGAGCGTTACTTGTTAGAGAATCGCAAGGAATCTAATAGAATCTCATGGAATCCCAAACAACCGAAAATCTCGTGATTTCATATTTTCCAAAAAAAAGAACAAAAATGTTCTGTTATAGAGATGGTTTCCAAAAACAAAACACTTTTGTTCCATTTCGAGACTGTCCCAAAACAGCACATTTTTGTTCTGTTTTTGGAGCGGCTACAAAAGAAATCCTAAAGAATCCTATGGAATCTCAGGAAATCTCAGGGAATCCTAGAGAATCTAAGAGAATCTAAGAGAATCCACTGAAATCTATCGAAATCCTTTGGAATCTGTCGGAATCAAAAAGAATCCATTAGAATCGTTGGAATCCAAACTGACCGGATTCCGCTCTTTTCCTCCTTGCCAGAACCTTGGAAGAAAGAGCACATCTACAGGGTTTGAGAGACAGCCGATAGTGCGTTCACCTGTAAATTTTATAGAAACTCTGTTGATCCAATCGGTTCTGTGTTTCACTTGTTCAAATTCTCAAAACATTTTTATCTGACTTCGTGATTACCGGTTTTATCTCTCGAGTGTATTCTATTACGCAACTGTAATATAGATATCTACTCGAACAGCACTCATACGATAGCATATTAGAACCCAAGAGTAGCTTCATATTATAGGACTTGAGGCATTAAGGATGCCCACTTTAGTATAGCATATAAGGCTCATGGATATCCCTATAGTATTGAAGTACAGGATCTAAGGGTACGTTCATACTATAGCATACGAAGACTCATGGGTACTTCCATCAAACGGAGTCTACTTGTATATGTAGTAAAGAGTCTTCAGCGAAACATTTTTTTTAAAGGCCTTTGCACTCCTCCTCCTAGAGGATCCCATTAATTTTGATACTTTCTACAAGAACCCAACCATTCCTCGACCGATATGTTTATGGGACAGTTCTGTAATAAACAATTCCACTCAATACCTCATATTCTTCAAGAGTTATCGTGTAAACAGACAGCTGGACACGCTGACCGATTTTAGTAGTGTAATCGCTTTCTGAGCACACAAAAACACAGTCTCTGTGTAAAAGATCAATCGCGAAAAAGCTTAAAGTATTGGTTTCAGATTTGAATTCTTCGTTCTCGATATCTTTGGTCGAGTGTTGTGGAAAATAATGTTCCTGCATTGAGATTATTTTTGAATCAATCAGTGAAGTGCGAGAAGATAAGCGGACAAGCAATTTATTAATATTGCATTGCTATTCACGAGAAAGAGAACTGTTTTCTCGAGTCGATTTGTTTCCTTTTGAAAGGTACTACAAATATGTTCCGATATTTTGCGAAGTAGTACTATGTGTTATAAAGCGCGCTTTGTGTTCATATCAGCGTGAGAGTCCAAATCGTTTTTTGAAAAGTTGAAAGTTGAGGAAAATCGAAAAAAATAAAATAATTACAACTGAAGTTATTAGTTATAACTCTCAACCAGTTATAACTCGCAGAAATCACTATTGAATGAATATAAAAATGTATTATTGAATGTTTGTTATACTCCAACTCATATATAGAAGAAATGATAGGATCTTATAATTAAGTTTAAAAGTATCGGAAGAAAAACCTTGAAATTGTTGCTGTTTTTAGTGGACGATATTTAAAGAAAATATTATTTTTAGAAAAAAAAACTCTCGTATATATCAATGAATCGAAGTCATTTTTATTTTAACTTAAATTAAATTATATTACAAATACCAAAAGAATAATAAAATTCGAAGTTTTAATCAAAGTCGACAGTTATAACTACGGTTGAAAGTTTTAAGTATGACTAAAGGTTATAACGGTGATTGATAGTTCTATCTAACTTAACTTTTAGACCCCAAAAGTTAATTGTTTATAATCTATAAGTTATAATTCGAATCATAACTTGACTAGTTTTAACTCCCACACCGGTTCATGTTATCCTGACTTTTGATATGTTTATGACATTTTTTTAGATTGCTTATGATCACTGAACAGAATCTCATATTTTAGCTTGATCCGATATATTTCTCCAGATCTTTATGAAGTTCGATGAATTCTGAAACTGTAGAGATTCAGTGGCAGAATCATAAGTTTTTATCGATTTATGAGCTTTTCCATAAATAAAACCTTGAGGGTGAAGGTGGGTGAGGGTGTTTGAGAGGAGGTAGCCCACAAGAACATAGTCAACGTCAATGACAACATGATTGACAACCATTAGTTGGCTAATAATTCATAACCATGTAGTTAATAAATGATTGAGTAGTATTGAATAATCAGGTACCGGTTACATCATAGTCCGTTGATTGATAGAAATTCATCGGCTAGTTAATATTTAATAATTAGGCACATGATAGTTAACAATTAGCTACTGAATAGTTAGTGATTAGTCGTATAATGGGTAATAATTAGTTACATAATCGTTATTATTTAGTTGCACTATAGTTATTAATCAGTTATCTAAGGATTTACGATCAATCACTTGCGAGTTTGAAAGCGAAAAACTCGAAGAAGAGGTTTTATACTTGAATCGAGTTAACGATTTCTACACTGTTCTCGCAGTCTCACCTTCATCCTCATCTGCCTACTTTGGAGTCGGTCTTTCAACGAAAACATTCACATCGAGAGGACAATAGAAAGTTGGAAACAGATAGCGCGTGAATATGCTGCTGTAGAAAGAAAATGATAAAGATAAGATAAAGAGAGTCATGAAAATAGTAAGCGCATACTATAAATAATGGTAAGTTGACAGCTTTGAAAAACAGTTTTCTTATTCGTTGGGCAGTTATTCTTCCAATTGATTTGATGCGTTATAGCGTTTTCCAGGAAATCGAAATTTGCATCGGTAAAAGGCAACGGTTATAGAGTTTAATTTTCCCTTCTGTAATGGCCGTAATCGGAAATTTCCCAATTTCCGTCATGGAGATTAGTTTCATTAGGAACTTTTGTTTATGGCTGCCATAATGGACATAATCGAGACTTTCCCAATTTCCATTATGGAAATTAGGCCCATTATGGCAGCCATAAACAAAAGTTCCTAATGAAACTAATCTCCATGATGGAAATTGGGAAATTCTCGATTATGTTCATTGTGCCCTATACGTCCGTTACAAATGTTCAACTGAAATATTAATCCGCACACTCTCGGCATCACACTGAATCCTACATCACTCTTCGAGGCATCCTCACAGAAATAAAACCCTACATCACCCTTCGAGGCATCCTCAGTCAAATGAACCTTCTTTACAAGCAGCAGGGACTTTGGAAATTGTGCCCAATGTTGATAATGGAAATTGAGAACTTTCTGAGAATATATTATAAGTAGAGTGGAAATCAATTTCCGGAAATTATTCCTAGTTAGAAAATGTAGTCAATTTCCTGGAAATCGCTATAACGCATCATATGTTCCAATTGGTCTTTTAGCTCGAAATGGTTTTCATATTCATGACTTTCTTGGTATTTGGTCTCGTGAATGGCAATGCAAATCGGTTTCACTGGTATGAATTACCAAATGCTTATCTGGGCAACTTTTTCGTCAGGGAGGACACTTTAAGAGATTCACTGGGTTTCGCTGCTTGGTTCGATCCATATTTTAAGAACGAGCCGAATCTTGGGGCGGCGATTGATAGATGTGAGAATCACAATCTGCGTAGATTATTTATTTCGCCTGATCAAGCAGCAGCTATAACATGTTATACATCTGGGACTCGACTCCCTACATCACTCAATTACGCGTTGCGAAGTCTCGATAAAGCGCTCATAACTGCATGGACACCGTATCTTCAAGTATGTTTGATATTAATTTTTGCGTTTAATTCTAATCAACTTTGGCTTTGACAGTTTTTTCATCTAGGTGTACAAAATTTACCCGAAGAAACTCCGCCTGAATTGTGTCGTGGTGATCCATTTGTATATTCTGCCGTAAATCACTCATATGTAACCCTAGTAAGTCTATGCCGATTAATTAGATGCGAATGTATTTGAGCTGAAGTTTTCAGTGTTTTCTTATCTATCTTTATTTCGTACTTCTAGCCATTATCATGGTCTAATTCAGCAGCGTATTGTGACATGCGCTCTTATGCATCTGGTGGACCCTGTACAAAAATCATATTACTACAACCCTTCCGTTCGACAAAACGATTGGACACTTATGCGTCTTTTGATGAGAAAGAATGGATTACGTTACCAGGAACAGTAGGACAGATCCAAGACATCATCCCGCAAAACGGAGGTGTTTGTCGTATTATTCGAGTGCGGCAAGTCAATCCTATTCAGGTAAAAACAAAAAAAAATCAGCACACTAAAAAAATAAGATTTTTCCGGAACCCACCAAAACAAGGTTCGGTAGATGCAAGAAGTTTCCAAATAAGTTCAAATGTCGAAAGAAACCATACAAAAATTCTACAGAACCTAAAAAGGTTCTTCATCTGGGTACACTCTCGAAAGCTTCTTCACGAAACCTTTTAGGTTTCGTAGAATTCTTTTTATTGTTTCTTTCGACATTTGTCGAACTTTTTCTAATCGCTTTGGGAAAAATCTTAGTCCCTCGACTGTAACGAGGATCATATGAAAATAGTTTGTTTTCTTGTGTGTATGTGTTAAGATCAAATGTCAAAAAACACATAGTTTCGTTTCTTAAGCCAAGTAATCGAACTAGGGTCAAATAGGATTCGAGGAGCGAAGGACTTGTACAATCAGAACTTAAGGCTAATAAAATTGACCAATCAGAAGTCAGGGTTAATAACACTGGTCAATCAAAGGGAGAGATGAGCAAAATACTCGAAATACTCGTACTCGAGAATAAATACGTGAGATACCAGATGAAGTATATTCTGTAAAAAATTCCTATGATTTTCTACTCTTGAACATTGTACAAAAAGTCTAAGATCTTTTGCGATCGATATACAGAATGGGCCATAAGTAGCTATGCGATAAGAAATTTAAGTATCTCCACCAGGTACAGAATCTAAGAAGCTGAAATTTTTAGTTGTAATATAGGATTACTTAAAGTTTTTTTTTCATCAGAAAATATTCATTATAATATAATATCAAACCGACAGAACGGCATAAGGAACGATTTGTCACTTGTACAGGATTCGAAAAGATTATTATATGATGATTTTAACCTATTTTTATGAACTTTTATCATCCTTCAATAGTATCTTGCATACAAAGAAAAATATTTCATGGTTTATCGACTCTACACATCCCTCACTTCCAGATTCAAAACATAGATTTCGATAATAGTGGACTGATCAGTGACCGCCACAGGGCAGGACAAAATGTTGACTTTTAGCTCTGTGCTGGTTGACCTGCAGGGCAGAATAGGGCAGAGTTTTTTGTCCGGCTAGATTTTTACTAAAACTATTAGGTTCAGAATGATTTACCAGACAATAGCTACTGTGAATGTCACAGATAATTAAAATAAAGTTTGTTAAAATCTTATCATAATCTTGATTCTACTATACTATATCATGCTGTAATTTTTTAAGATTTTCATTAGTTTTCTTTTGATTCTAGTGTATCGTCAGAATTTCTAATTATACATCAAGTTTAGATGATAACTGCTTCAAATTTATTTTAATATTCTATCAGCTTCACGTGTAGACGTGTTCGTAATGATCCCCAAATGGAACTCTTATCTTTTTGGGTCTCTCTCCTCAAGAAAATACTAATAAGTAGCGTTTAGATGTTGAGAAACGTCTGAACATTCGATTGATTTTGTGTAGACATTTAGATTTACTCAACTCCTTCTCTTCACTATCTACGAGTTTTTTTATGAATATCTTCTGAAACTCCTTCCAAATAATATTAGTAAAACATACGTATTAGATATTAAAACGACTAAATCTCTCCTAGGAATGTGCAGTTTCAGTGAGAACCAGTAAAATACTGACACTGATGTCAAGGTTTACTGAAACACTGACGCTCACTGAAGAGTCAAGCTACTCACTCTGTCATGCACGCACAACTAGTGATTTTGTTGACGGCTATCAAAAAAAGTAGTGGGATGACTATACATTTCCCTCAAAAATATAGAATTCACTCGAACAACTTATAATTTTGAATAATATGGCTAATTTGTGGGAAGTAACCCCCCCCCCCTCCCCCCCCCCCCACTCGGTAATAAAAGGTCCGGGGCCTTCTATTATGGTTCCGCACACCGCTTGCTTTTCGTGGAAAAAACGCCCTACTTCCTATAGGGCGTTTTTCAAAAAGTTTCGTCCCAAACGGGCCTTCTATATTAGGGGTGGGGCCTTTTAATATAAGGAGACCCTTTAAACTGGAAGGGGGTTTACGTCACTTACAAACCTAATCTTGAGACATGACTAAGGTATCTTAATCTAGTACTGTTATCAAACATTTATTTAATTTTATTAACAAAACCAATATTTATAACTACTCTTTTTGCTGAAGCATCCAAGAAAAATACACAACTGTTATTCAAACGCACTCTAATCTACTTTACTATTTCTCATTTTCAGGTCCCTGTATGGCTCACAAACAACGTAACAAACCTTGTTCCTCCTACGCTTCCAGGTACTGCATAATACAATCGCCCTATGGAAGTAAGTTATGCGCAACGGCATCTTATGTTAGCGTCTTCACTTCTTTACGACGCCAACTTATTGTATATGTATGTATACGTATATACATATACATACATTTATGTTCTCTTCTCTTCTCTTCTCTTCTCTTTCTTTCCTTTCTTACATTCTTATGTAGTCGCTATACATATATTTTCTTTCTTTTCTGTGTTATGTATCTTGTCTTGATCTTCAGGATCTCACTGTGATCATCATATATTATTCTCTTCTTTTTCTTTTATATTATTTCATTTTTCTTTGTTTTGGTTTTTTGTTTTCTCTCTCTCTCTCTCTCTCCTTCTCTTTGTTTGGTATAGACACAGTTGTTTCTCTCTATTTTTTGTGTGATTCCTGTTTTCTTTGTTTTGCACTCTCTTTATCCCCAATAAACATCCTCACCATCTTCTTTATATTTATTTCATCATACACTACGGCAGGCATATTTTCATTATTTAGCGATTCATTAGATCGTTATTGAGCTCTTTATTGATATCATATTACGATATCACTATACTTAGAGAGTATATATTTCCTATCCGAAACAGGGATCTCACCATTGGTGGAGAAGTTGGGCATCGTTTGATTCTAGCCCACTTATTTGTATTAAGTCATACATATAAGAACTTATATGTTTATATATATAACAAACTTTTTCTTTCTTTTCTATTCACTATTGCTTTTCTATTAAATTCTTTCTGTCCTGTCTATATACTACGAAAGCAGTTAAGCATACATATATATATATATATATATATATATATATTGGTACGGAAGCTAACGGAACGAATAACAAAGAAAAAAGTGCATCAATAGCAAGTCGTTTCTGATGGGTCGAAAACTTTTTGGCATGGGCGCTAAATAATTTTCACATCAGTAGATAGAGCATGTTCGCCTCTATCGATTTATGTATTTGGTTTTTCTTAAAAAATTGTCATAGAGCTATAGGGGTCGTTTTTCTCTATATGGACGTCGTTACATCATCAACGTAGAATGACTCATCATTGTAACCATGGTATCATTATATATCACTGCATTCACATTTGTAATTTAATTAAAAAGAAACTTTATATTTAACAATAATTTATTATGAATATATAATATCTTTAAATATATGAATTAAATAAGTATCATAAATAAGAAATCCTATCGAAAAAAAAGAGATAATAAACAGAAAACAGAAACTAGTAAAATAAAAACGATTTTCAGTGTGTAGTCGGCTGACTGTGAGCTTTTGGTTTGCCATAACATTTTCGAAAACGAGCCGCACGACGTGGTGTTGATGTTATTGGTAAGGGTGTTTTCTAAAAGAGGAACGACGTGCTATATGATTAAGAATAGGGATGCAACGGTGACGATAACCGTACTAATCGGTAATCGTAGTAACCGGTAACCGTACTAATCGGTAATCGTAGTAACCGGTAACCGTACTAATCGGTAATCGTAGTAACCGGTAACCGTACTAATCGGTAATCGTAGTAACCGGTAACCGTACTAATCAGTAATCGTAGTAACCGGTAACCGTACTAATCGGTAATCGTAGTAACCGGTAACCGTACTAATCGGTAATCGTAGTAACCGGTAACCGTTCCAGTCGGTAACCGTTTCACCGATAACCGTTTCACCGATAACCGTTTCACCGGTTACCGATATGAACCGATAATCGTTCCATTCGAATACTAATTTAAATGTTCAAAATTCTGGTGAAAGGGAGAAATCAACTTATGACTATGCATTCATATTTGCGCAAGAAGTACATACCACTCTACCTTGGAGTTCTATGGTAACAAACAGTGTTATTATTTTAAAAAAACTTAGCAAGCATCATTTGTCTAACAAAAAACTTGTAGAACAACAGTGAAGTTCAGCAAAGCAACGTTCGAAAGAATCATCCAGGTCGTCTATATTTATACACTTTTACTAATTCTGGTATCACCAAATCATCTATATCATATGGGTAAGTCCATAACGATCAGAGCTAGGACGCAAGTATTTGTACTCGTACTTTTTCAAGTGAAAGTATTATACTTGTACTTAAGGAAATGTACTTAGTACTTATATCTAAGTCTGAGAACTGATAAAAAAACGGACCAATCGGATTTCAGGATCCGTTTGGCCATTTTCTTCACTTTTTTTGAAGAGAAAACCCTTGGTTACCTATAGCAGAATGAAAGATCGTACTCGATTACCATATGATCGGTACAGGTAATCAAGGGATTCTCCTTGAAATAGTGAAAAAAATGGTCAGACGGATCTTCAAAATCCGATTGGTCCGTTTTTTCATCAGTTCTCAGGCTTAAACGCAAGTACCAAGTACATTTCCTTAAGTACAAGTATAAGACCTTTACTTGAAAAAGTACAAAAAGTACAAGTACAAATACTTGCGTTCTACTTAGGGCAATCCAAAAGTAGTGGCGGAGGCCCTTTTTTCCTTATACATAGGTGCTGAAAAAAAACGTTTTTTAGCAATCGATAGAGCGAGAAAAACTGCATCGATCTATGCTAATTGATCTATATCAAGCTAAGGTTATATCGATGAAACTTCAACAAAACTCTTTTTTGTTGACATCTGGCTGGTAGCAACAGTACAAAAAAACAAATAGATCTGGTTTTTTCTTCGTTTTTCCTTTATTTTCTTTTGTTCTTTCCTCCAATATTGTTTTCCTTCCTCTTCTAATTTCTGACCATCTATTTATTACGTAGTGAAGGGGAAGTAACAATGATAGCATACGTAAATACGCGACTAAATTTTTCAGTTGTTTATTTAATCAAATGTTCAAAATAATGACATTCATGATCGATGCACAACTGCATAGACAGAGTTCAATTCATCATGAATAATTCTTGTTTGAATATTAAGTGCAGTAGTACTTTGATGTAAAAACGAACGTTTTCTGCACTCATTTCAGAGAGAAAATGGGAGTATATAAAATTTGCTTTCGCTTATCTGAATTTCTCGAATACAAACAAATAGAAAGCACATCTATACAATAGCAGTCGGTCGGACACTTTACTATGTATGTACGTATAGATGGTCAGAAATTAGAAGAGGAAGGAAAACAATATTGGAGGAAAGAACAAAAGAAAATANAAAGAACAAAAGAAAATAAAGGAAAAACGAAGAAAAAACCAGATCTATTTGTTTTTTTGTACTGTTGCTACCAGCCAGATGTCAACAAAAAAGAGTTTTGTTGAAGTTTCATCGATATAACCTTAGCTTGATATAGATCAATTAGCATAGATCGATGCAGTTTTTCTCGCTCTATCGATTGCTAAAAAACGTTTTTTTTTCAGCACCTATGTATAAGGAAAAAAAGGGCCTCCGCCACTACTTTTGGATTGCCCTAAGTAGTTCTGATAATTATACAGTATCGTGGACTAATGCGGTCTGGAAATGGCACGGTAACCGGTCTCAACGGTTAACGGTCTATGCCGATTACCGGGAAAACGGTTGCCGGTTACTACGGTTACCGATCAGAACGATTACCGGTCACTACGGTTATCGATTAGAACGGTTACCGATTCATACGATTAACCGGTGACTAATCGTCACCGTTGCATCCCTAATTAAGAATAGACAATGATCTTACAAAGATTGATTGTGTTTGAATATTCGTTGTTCGAGGATGCACAGGAGAAGAAGTAGCGCACGGTGATCGAAATAATAGTTGATTAGAAGTGAAATTCTAGAAAAAAAAACAAAAGAAATAATAGCAGATAATGTGAAAAAACTCTTACCGAGGATGTAGATGATAGTCTTCGTCGTTTCGGCACCACCATTTCTAAATCTTTATCTAAGCAATATGTATGATCATGTTTAATATGTGAAAATGCAGTAGAGTTGGTCACAGTAGATGGATTAACAGCAGAACAATCCCCTTTAACATCTTCATATGATTGATCGAATGTTCCATTGAAACCAGATGCAGCAATACTCTATTACTTAAGACAGAAATCTTTTCGAGCTCGTCAAGAAATGAATAGTTATTTGGGTACCTGATTGTTAACATTACTTAATACCGATGCAATCGATAATTTATCATATTCATTATCATTTTGACTGAATATCGTTGATAATTCAAGCTTACTGATTTGTTGATGACTTGAATTATTAAATGAAAAATTATTTGCATTCTAAACAATAATAAAATGGAAAAAATAACTGAATCAGGAGTTGGTTTATATAAAAGACCACTCACTTGATTTGAACAAGTCTCTTGATTGCATTTGCAAAAGAATGTACATGGTAAACCGTTTTTATAGCACTTGCAACGTGTACAATTTCCTTTACATTGACCACATGTTTCGAGACGATGATCATCTGGATATTCACTTAATATGGACCATTTAATTCTAAAACGATTAGTATCAAGAGAATATTCGTAACCCATATGTTCCATTGAAGGCGGTAAGCTGTTTGGTTCAAGTGCATCATGCCATATCTTCAGTTGTCTTGAACATCTTAAGCAATGTTCATAAAATGCCAAGAAGGAGGTAGACTTACGGAAACGTTTTTTCTAGATCGATCTTTTATTCGTACAGAAGCCACTAAAACAACGAAAACAAATACAACAGAAGAATGAACATGTATTATTGAAATTACTTACTCATTCCACGAAGATCATTAAGTGATTTTGCTGCGGAGTTGAACGAATAACAATTGATAAGAAGTTTCTCAGCTGCTTCGATTGCTTCTTGAGATGGTGGTACAGAAAGTAGATTAATGATTGGTGAATAAAGAGTAGGACATTCAAAAAATCGTTGAAAAAGATTTTCTTTGGTAATGTTACGAATAAACGAAGTAGTATCACAGCCAGATAAAGCATGTAGGACAAGTAGTAAATGAGGATCGATGAACTGACGACGAAGATCATTTCCAATAGATTTAACATCAATATAAGTAGTTTTCTTTGTATTCATATTGAAGAATAGAAGTATTAACTGATCAAGAATAATAGACGAACTAAATTCAATGGATAATAACACAACATCAATACTAAAACACAAAGAAAAACAAGAGAATTATTTTAATTTATTTTTTAACTTACTCAGATGCTTGAACAAACACTGTTTTCTGCTGTTCATCGATACTAATTGCATTAGTGTGTAAAATTATACGCGTATCAGCTTCGATTTGCGTTGATTCAAGAATGTAGTCTGGTATTGGTACGTGTCCATTCTGTAATTGAATCGCTGATTGATCGGAACCGCTAACCAGAAGAAGTCGATTTTTAGGTAAACGTCCAATTAATTCTGGTTCCATCCAACAATCTTTAACACAAGCAGCAAGAGCTGCAAGATTTGAATGAACAAATTTTGAAAATGGAGATTCAAGTTTGTCATTGCCATTTAAATGATAACTACATTTTTCTATATAATTCTCATGTCGTTTAGTAAACATTTTAATCTTCTTGCTTTCTGCAGAATCGAATACAATATCAATACGATCCTAAACAAATGAAAAAGGCGAGTATTAAATCATAAATGAAAATGACTTACATGTATGTTAAATAAATCCCGAATATTATTTTCAAGTAATTGAATAGAATATTCTCTTACAGTTTGTACATTCGACAGTGGTTTTGTTTCCAAAAGACTTCAACCATCGATTACGATCGCACTTTCTTGTGTTGTGACGGGACATGAAGAGTAAAATGATGATGGATATATTTTGGATAATACATCGATAATATTAGATTTTGCTTGTTGATTTAACAGATTAATGTTGTGAGTATCACAATGCGCAAATAAATCTGCAAGTGGTTTAAGATTAATGTTGTGAGTATCACAATGCGCAAATAAATCTGCAAGTGGTTTAAGATTTCTTTGTTGAGCAATAATTATTGTTTGATAAATCTGATCATCAGCCATTTTCACTAAAGTATTTAAGTCTTGATATTTTTGTGAAGATGAAGATGTTGTTCTTGACGAATATGGTTTGTCAGGTACATAGTTTTCGGCATTTATAAGTTCTAAAACAATGTGAAAAAATATAAATGTATGATCATTTTCAAGTTAATTACTTAACAATGGCATCGCTTTGAGTGGTGCATCTACAGGAATTGTTTTAGTAATAAGTCGTTCATTTATAAATGTAATAAATACATCATGACCACGTTCATAGAATGAAGTAATGTTCATAATAATATCATCATGAAAAACAAGACCTGATTGTAATTTACGACATTAAGTATTAACCATAGTAAAAAGATTTTCTTGACGGCATTTCTTGATAATCATTGATAAATCTCCATCATCTAATGCTTTCCTATTCGGCGAACATTCCACATGAGAATCGATAGAATTAGTATCTGTTTCAATGCCACATGTTTCATGTAAAGTAGACGAAGCAAGAGCACGAAATGCAAATGAATCTGTCCAGTTTTGTATTGCTTCTTCATTTAGTCGACCAGTAATTCCGCCTTTTCCTTTACCATGTTTGTTTATCGTGCATTCAATCATTTGATCAAGAGCAATACCTAAAAAAAGAAGTAGTTTTCAAAAGAAAAAAAGTATTAACTTACTTGAAAATTTTCTACGAGAACGAGTGACAGCGAAGGCACGCGATATACGTTCAAAAAGATAGGAAGAAGCGGTTTGTAAATCTAACAAATGTTGAGCGCATAGTCGGCTGTAATTGCGATGGTTAGTAGAAAAGAATATCGGCACAAATCGATTAAGAGCAGCATTTCTTGCTGAAAAATTACAAGATCTAATAGATATGTATAACTCAAATAAAGGTTCTAATAAATGGTGAAGAATGAAAAACCAAAGTGGAAATGTACTATTTTCAGCCGCAGATTCAGTTGTCCACTTTCGAAGAGCATTTGCAATATCAGTCTGACGAATATTGTCGAGTAATCGTTGAAACCACTCTTGCGCAATACTATCTTTCATAAACTCGGATGGTATGTTGTCTATAATATCTTTCAATTTTTTTACGCTACTCGCTGTAGAAGAAGTTGAACTTGTAGTTGAAAAGAATGCTTCAAGACAAAGTATATGTAAAGCAGTATAAAATAATTTGCAACATCGTAGACTTTTATTGAAATAGTGAACTCTAAATTATAAAAGAAAATTGGCTATTAATGATATTCAAAGCTAGATACCTACTCAAATATTGCACGTAAAGTAGCTCCTTTGTATATAAGTTCAAGTACATCTTCAATGCCAGAACCTTTACGGATGCTCCAGATAACTACCATCATGTTTTTCATCAGATGAAAATCACCAGCATATACAAAAATGTTTCGGAAAAGATCTGGGTTACGACGTTTTACCTAAATAAAAAGAAAACATCAATAGAAAACGAATGTTTCAGTGTCTAAACGTTTACCTTTAAACATGATCGATAAATCTTTTCATCGACAACCAATACACCTTCTTTTTGATATTTTGTATCAACACATAATTTCTTCGTTTCATCAAGACATTTTTCAGCTGTTAATTCAGAATTTGGATCTTCATTAATAGGTGTTAAGTAAGATACAGTATGGAGAGGCCGTTGTTCTGAACCTAAATAAGTCGCAAAAAATCCTGCCATAAGAGGTACTCGTACAGGTGAAACAGATAATAGAAAACGATTTGATGACTGACTACTATCATTTGCATATTTTGTTATACCATAAGCCAAGAGCGGCAGAAATAACGAATCATCAGTAAACATTTTGTACGAGAAAGAAGAGTCAGTAGCTGAAGTTGTCATAGTAGACTGTGAAGTAGAAACAAACTAAAAAACCTCTCACATATGATGAAAATACTACCAGTTCTTTTGCGTATAAAAATGGTGACACTTACCGAAGGAGGATCATGTGAGTTTGATGTTTCATTTAATAAATCATCAACGATGTCTCGTACTTTAATTGAAATTTCATCATTTTCTGATGTTGTGACAATAATTTGATTAAGAATATGAATACTGTTGTTACCATATAAAGTATCGGGATTTATATCGAAATTGTCAGCTACTTTAAAGATAAAATTTTGAGAATATGTAGAAGATTTTTCCTTTTGTTGTAGAACGACAAGTGGATCATTCGTTTTTCTAACATTTTGTGCTGCATCATGCTGAAGTCGCATAATGGTACTGTAACTTGGTGTGTGTCCTAATCGGTTTGTAATACTTAATAACTGTTTTGATCTTTCATGTCGAAAAATCTCATTTCCTAATAAGTCTAAAAACATCAAGAAAGTATTTTATTGCTAATAAAGTCAAATTTACAACCCATGTAAAAATTCTTCCTCAAAAAGTCTACTATAAAGTACTATTCATATTTGATTGATAAGTGAAAAAAGTACTAAAAAGTGAACCTTTTAAAGCAACTATAAGTAAACTTTGAAGTAAAAAGTACTTTTTATTACTATAAAAAAGTGAAAAAAGTTACTAAAATAAATTTTCATTAGTAATAAAAATTACTATCATTTTCTTTTGAAAGTATTATAAAGTACTTTAGACGTAGCATTTTTAGAAGCTATATAATGACTTTTAGTAATTGCAAAAGTACTGAATATACTATAGAACATATTCGCAGTAATTCACTAAATACTTCTATTTACTTTCAGTAGTACTAAATATTCCTTTGGCTATGAAAAGCTCTTTAGTATCGCCCTTCCGAATAACACTAGAGAAATTCACATTATCGGCCCGTAAGATTTCCAACAGTAATCCACTATTACGACTATTTTATTCTTTTCCTATCCCATCTCGCATCAGCAAAAGATTAATATTTGTTGCAATTAATCGTCTCTCACTATTATCCGGTTACATTGTAACCGAAGTCACTGAGTTTCATAACCATTTACTTCTATCTATCATGAAATCTTATTAATTATTTTTCACTTAATCATTACTTACTCATTAACTTCTCATACACATTAACAATATAAATAACTTGCACTTCATCATTTTTATTTAAATTAACAAAACTTTTCCTTTGGCAGCCATTTTACGTGTCAAACTGTGTTATGTGTAGTCTATAAATAATTATATATCTTTTTGTTCTGTAGTACGGAGTATCTCGCAAAACGTGTACAGCCAAATCGAAAAGATATATAATTATTTATAGACTACACATAACACAGTTTGACACGTAAAATGGCTGCCAAAGGAAAAGTTTTGTTAATTTAAATAAAAATGATGAAGTGCAAGTTATTTATATTGTTAATGTGTATGAGAAGTTAATGAGTAAGTAATGATTAAGTGAAAAATAATTAATAAGATTTCATGATAGATAGAAGTAAATGGTTATGAAACTCAGTGACTTCGGTTACAATGTAACCGGATAATAGTGAGAGACGATTAATTGCAACAAATATTAATCTTTTGCTGATGCGAGATGGGATAGGAAAAGAATAAAATAGTCGTAATACTGGATTACTGCTGAAAACCTCAAGTGTCATTAACATAGGAAAGCTTCTTCGAAGGTACAACTACCTCTTATTGAAAATAGAGAGTAGGAGTATTCACGCAATTTGTATAAAATATCCAATAGATCCATGAAAACTTTGGTTCAGTCCAATATATACTATACTACGATATAGACTAGACAGAGTTCTGGTCTTCTACTCATACTTCGAAGTGATGAAACACTATTTCAAGGATATATGTTAAAATATTGCGTAAAATATCGCCCACGACCAAACTCTGGAATTTTTATGGAACATTCCTAGGTGAATCATTACAAAATCAAAAGTTTTATTCTTTTGCCACTAGACTTTTTCCTTTAGATGGCACATTGATATCGTGTCGCAAGTCAAAATTGCTCCTCTTCCATACTAAAAATCGCACTTTACTGTTTCTATTCACTCATGCGCACCTTCTAGAATGACGGCAGACATGGAAGGCAATTACTTAGGCCAGTGTAGAACGCTTTGGTCTCGATCTGTCACATTTTTTACGCGAACAAACATGATAAATCCTTTTATAGATGATTATTAGGGATACTGTTATGGTCAATAATGGATAATATTGTAGCACACGGCAATTAGAGCTTCGATAGTACTTTGAAGTACTATAAGCAGTACTTCGTACTAAGTCACCACTACTGATTATTTTCTTGACATGAGATAAAATGACTGGATAACTGATATTTATACCCTTCGATCTGCATGGCGGCCGACTATATGCAAAGTTGACTACTCATACGCCCACTCGTCAATATAATCAGAGGTTCAGTAGTACTTTGAAGTACTTTCTAATACACTTCGTAGCACTATAAGAAGTACTTCGTACTAAGTCACCACTACTGATTATTTTCTTGAAATGAAATAAAATGACTTATTTGGATATAAGAAAATCAATTAATGAAGACGCGAATTTTCAGAGTTTTGTTCGAATACTTAATGCATCACGCATATCAGAAACATACTATCGGATCAAGAGAAATTCCATCTCTGATGTTTTTCTCGAAAGACCAGTTCGAACAGTATTTGAATGTAACACTTGACTAGATGAGTGCCTGCCAGCTTCATGTATATCTCTCAATAATTGTAATGGATCAGATATGATTATGCATCACGACATTTAGACGAAAAGCAATTAAATCTGAATGTACTTATTGAAACTAACTTTGAGATATTGCGACTGTATGAACGAGAAGTATTAAGTTCAGTTGATAAGATATTTCGTATCTGAATTTCGATTCTACGTATAATAACTTTGCATAGTTTTCGAATAGATATAAAGACTCCACTATTTATAGTGAGCAATAATATAAATGAAAAGGATTTTGAAACATTTGAAAATGTATTTATTTTGATAAAACTTAATGAAATAGCAATAATAATAACAAGATTTAGTTTTTATGTTGCCTTTTAATTATATTTGAAATATTTTAGATTATTTCTCCGTTTCTCTGCGGTTCAGTATTCTCCAATGATAAGACTTTTATAAGCTGAAGAGCATAATTTCATGAATACTTTTCGTTGATAAACATGGCTAGACACGAAGGAAACATGGAATCCATCAAAAAATAATAATAATAAAGTATGGACATAATTGGATGAAATTCCATTGACCGTTCGTTCGGGTAATCAAGGATTGAACAAAGTATACTGTCGTTAGCACATATCTCGACATCTATCTATCGACAAAGGCACTAACACGTACATGTGATTTGATAGATAAAACAGCCTATTTATTTCTTTGTCTTTATAGAAAATCCAGACGAAAATAAAATGATAAGAAACCGTTCATTATACTAATAAAATCTTTGGAAGATGTATCGACAGTTTAAATCGAGGAGAAAAAGCGAGATTTTCGCTCTGAAGTACATGGAAGTACTACTGAAGTAAGGCGGAAGTTTTTTTTACCGTACTTCATTCGTATTTCAGTAGTACTTCGCCATACTTCCACAGTAATTCGCTGTACTTCAGTTATATTTCAAATCTTTTTTTGTAGTAAATGAAGTCTCGCTTCTCCCCCTTGGTTTAAATGCATAGTTAGTCGAGATGATAAAAGAGTTTTTTATTTATTACTAACAGTCAAGATTGTGCAGCTATAATTGCTCTATTTTGAACTATTCTATTTTCAGATATAAACGTTTCATTCCACTGTCGATATTATTGATTCTTGACGACGACTCAAAATTATTTAAATGGCAAAGAAAACAAAATCAAAACAAAAAACCAAAACTAGTACCGATCAATCCGATGAAAATAAACATGTTTTATTACGGGACTTGACTAGCAATATGTTGTTGATCGTCAATGTTGAAGATATTGCGTCAAGCCAAACTATGAAGATGGGAGTAGGAAAAGTAGTATCATATGTTGGTAAAGATCGATTACATGGTCGTGGTACGATACTCCTTATTGGTGAGTTCATATTCAAGAATTTATAATTGTGATGATTTATATGCTTTCATTTCAACAGGTACTGACGAACAGTGCATGGAATTGCTTCAAGTCTTGGAAAAAAATAATGAACCAAAACGAAACGATAAAAGTGAATCTACACTTCATATAAATGACGAAGAAGAAGAATCAGATTACGACGATGAAAATGAAGAAGTGGAAAATTCAAAAATCAATGAAAAACGTGATAATATTTCAACACAATCTGGTGGATCTGGTACATTGACTGCAAATCCAACTACTGTCAATGCATCTACTGCAAATATAACTAGTACAAAAGAAAAAGATTCAAGCAATACATCTTCTACGAGTAAGTAACAAATGTGTATGTTTAAATCTTTGAATGACACTTGTATTTCAGATAACAAACGACCTTTGCCACTTGCAAATAAAAGGACAAATATGACCGATGAAAATTCACCATCTGCCAAACGTCGTAAAAGTACCGACGATGATGATATGTATTTACGTGGTCGAATTTTAGCTTTACAAGAAGAAATTAAAAAACTTAAAAGTATAATCCATGATATGGAAACAAACTGGATGCGTAAGTCTACTTAATGTGTTTGTTTGTGATAATTCGCTGTCAGCGACTTAGATCGTGTACTTTTAAAATTGAATAAAAAACTTTAATCCGATTACGAACAGAAATTTTTATGATTCAGAACCTTGGAAAGAAATAAGAGAATTTATTTCTTGTCTGTATAGCAAAATATTTTGTTCAAGTTGATTGGAATATTTCAAAACTGTTCTAAAGGTGATCATTGAAAGATAAATTGTGATTAGTGTGTCATATTTTCTTTGAATGAGACATACAAAACGCATATAGCTGCACTAGACGAAGTTGAAATTAAGAATATTTTTTTATTTTTAGCACGTCCTGATCCAGCCACAATCAAATATTTTTCAACTATCGTATCATTATGTACAGGGGAAGATATAGATTACGAAGAGGATAAAGGGGAAAAAATCGCGAAAATTATCGACATTTTGGCTATGAGCGAAGAAGAACTTGACCATTGTAATGACAAAAACAGTATTCGAAATACATGTAGAAAAATCGTTCGAATTGTCTTTAAGCAAGAATTGGAAGACATTACCTTTCCTTACGGAAGAATTCTAAAAAAGAAGAAATATCAAGCAAGAATGTCAGCAATTCGTGGTATGTTAAATAAATCTGTTTCTGGTAATTGATTACTCTTCTCTTCATAGACTATGGTCGAATAACACATCCAATGGAATCTATCAAATTTAATGATGGCGAGCTGAACAATGCTATGGGTAGTGACTTTTACAAGCGAGATAGAGAAGTGAAACTTAAAAATTCTGAATCGAAAAATAATTGTCGAAGTGATCAATCAACTAGCGAAGATAGTGATGGATGAAACGTATACAATTGACCATTTTTTTATTAATCAAGATGCTTATTAGATAGAATCATTAGACTAGAACAGTTTTCTTCTGGTTTTCTTCACATAGGATGTTTTACTATTTTTTCTCTCGTTTTGCGTGAAACTAAAAAAGAAACTCTTTGAAAATTTATCTATGTTGTTTAAAAATAAGGAGACTCTTATGGTAAATCCTTATTTTTTTCTGAAAAAGTGTGTTGATGTTTTCTTTACTCTGCAGATATTGAAATAAATAAAATTTATCATATTATCAATCTGTAACTTGAGAAATCATATTCATCAGAGACAGTTGGAAAAAGAGATTGCTTAATACTTGAATGCTCAATTATTCATTATGAAACGATTCCCACATTAGTCGTGGTGTTCTTTTCATACAACAGAATGTTACGTTGATTATAATTTGAATATATATCTTGCTATTTGACCATGAGCAACGATTTGTTTTTTTTCTTTTAGTCATTAAATCCTGCTAATTTCTCTCTTTTCAAATCTAAAATAATGGCAAAGAAAACGACTCAATGGAGAAATCGACGTTTACGTTTGCAAGCCATCAAATTCGGTAAGGATGCAAATTTCATATATTCTCATAATATATTCTTCCAGGTTATAAACTTCTCGAGAAAATGACCACAATATCATCAACAAGCAATAATTCACGAGCAAAACACAATCCACAACCATCTTCACCTATGACCGCTTTCATCGATGAAACATCACTAGAGAGCAACACGTTAGTCGGCATTTACTGTCAGTTTTTCTTTTGCATCGTTTTATTAATAGATCGTCTGAACCTTCTAAACTGAAACGTAGTATCTCACTGATGGATATTGCCTGTGCACTTGTATTGTTTAAACAGCGCCATCGACTCTCAATTACTTGTATGAATCACTTATTAAAACTACTACCGTATCTTCACCACAAATCGATGCCTACTAGCTGGTTCACATTGAAAAAGCTTCTCCAAACTAATACACTTACATCACCGCCGATTATAAGGTTTGTTTGTCCATCATGCTCTGAAGATTCTTCGAGTTCTACAAATTGCTCTCAATGTGGAAAAGGAATAGATCCTTCATTATCAATACAATCTTTTCGAAATTTTCGTATTAGTGATCAGTTACATCGTATAATTACAAACAATTACAAGTATATGAATCTATGTAATAAGTCTTCCGGTGAATATATGAGAGATATATGTGATGGAGAAACGTATCGAACACTCCAACATACATATGGTGATCTATTTATTTCGCTAACCCTTAACATCGATGGCATACAACCAAATAAAGGTTCACAAAAAACCATTTGGCCAATCTTATTGATAATTAATGAATTGCCATTGAAACGTCGTTTCTCACTTGAGAATATTATTCTAGCGGGCATTTGGCCCGGACCGAAAAAGCCGTCCAGAACACATATGCATTTGTTTTTGAAACCTCTTATTGGTGAACTTATACGTTTAGAAAAAGGTGATGATTTCTTTTTACCGTCAGATTCTTTATCTTTATCAAACCAACTAGTACATATTCGTATCTACTTGATTGCTGCGTGCTGCGATAAACCAGCACAAGCTTTGATTCAAAATATTCCAGAGCCAATCGCTGCATTCGGTTGTGGACGTTGTGAAATCCCAGGTAGTTATATACATGTAAAAATTTTCTCTGAAAACTTTGCTATTTTCCGCTTTAAATGGTAGGTCTTGAGTATATGGAAGTACTTATATATAAACATTTCAAAACGTTTTGTAGTGAAAAGTTCCATTAAATATAATATCGAAAGTGAGAAAAGAATACTATCTGATACTATAGAAAGCATTAGATAGTAATATATCTTGACACATTTGTGCCAACATCTATAAGGGCTATATTCACAATATCGCGTGGACGTTTCTTCTCTGTTACCGCCTTTAATTGTATAAATCCTTGAGTGATACAAAGGTTCGTATTGACATATGCTGCCGCGTGGTATCCTTAGATCAGGTCACTTTCCATTTTACGATTATGGCACCATTCGGATGAACTTGTTCATTCAAGGTGAAGAAAGACGTAGAATAATAGAATCCACTTTAGATAACGTGAAGCAGCTTGAATATGTGCAGAGAGCGAGTATAAAAGGAAGAAGAATGATAGAGAAAGAGAGAGTCGTCGTGAGAGAGAGTCGTCGTGTGATAGTCGTCGTGTAAGAGTTGTCGGCTAAGTGAAGTTGGAGCAAGTCAACGATTTCATACACATATCCAGAGATATTTCGTCCAATATCGCCCTCGTTACCTGAATCCTGAACCCATTCTACAAGTTAATTGTATCCCGGACTGAACCTATTTCCTTGTCATATTATTATATGGTGTTATATCTCTGTTTGTATGTGTAATCCTCTCTTCCTTTGTTCAAATAAACATCGATGAACTCGTAGCAACTTATAAGCCCCAACAAAATCAAAGTTGTATGTTCTCCAACTACATATCCAAACAAACAAAGTTGTTACAACATTGTTATATATTACTATTTATAGTACTTCAAAATACTTTGCATAATACTACATAGTACTATTTATCATAATAAACAATAATATAACACGGTTTATTACCATGTAATACTTTTCACATTATGAACTGTTACTTTTCTTTACGTTCAATAGTACTTATTAGTACTTCCAGCAGTTTCTAAGTATATTTCTCTTGTCAAAAAGTCTGTAAAGCACTTTAACTGAGTTTTTTGCATTTGCTCACAAATACCATAGAAAAGTAGTCTGCTTCTTATTCTGTTTTGAATCTTATACATATACATATATCGACGTGTACAATCCCCAATGTCATTCTAATAAAAAAATTTATTATAGGTCGCATGATAAGCATTGGATCTTCGAAGGGTCATGTACGTACGTTTGCAGCTGAATTACATATTTTAAATGACACAAAACAGCGGTGCAATATTCGCTACGATACATTACTGGCATTGAAAGAAATGCGAGACTCACGACGAGCTCTACTACCAGAAAGAAAAAGAAAGAAACAAGCAGAACGAGATAAGCAAAAAGATTATGGAATTTTAGGTCCATGTGCATTCAGAGGCTGTTCAATGTTTGATGTGGGTTGTTCGTTTATGTCAGATTCACTTCACAATATTTACATTGGTGCATTCGTAAGTTGTATTTAATTCTTTGTTGCGCATGTAAATCTTTTGTCACAGCAGTGATAAGGATGACTTATTGCTAAATACATCTATGGAAAAAGATTAAACAACAGCTCACTTCTAAGTGCTTTTCCTATGATTTAAGTAAAGTAAAGTGACTCTTTTCAATATTTTCCTTCTAAGAGACGAAATGAGAAATATACTTATATATTAGCTTATGGGCGCATTCTTTTAAAAACAAACTTTTGAAAGCAATGAATGGTCTGTTTTCGGATAAAAGTTTTATATAATATATACGTCTCAGCAAAGTTCAAACGACAGAAAACTGCTTTTTATCTTTTGCATGTAATTTTTCATTTGGAATACTTCAAGAAATGTTTTAGAAACGAATGCTGTCTCTTTGGTTGTCAAAAAAATATCAAAATGATCCGTGGAGTGTTCATAGTCGTATAAAAGAACTGGGTGAATTATTTAAAGGAGTTCGACTTCCATCTACAACCACTCGAATACCACGTTCGCTGATCGACTATTCTAAGTTCAAGGCTAATGAACTACGCGTACTACTTCTGTTTGGCTACGCGATTTTCTCTGATATCCTTCCAGGTAAATACTACACACATCTCCTTCAACTTGTATGTCTTCTTCATTTGGCTGAAAATCGACGAATTCCTTACCATAATATCAATGTAATGCAAAAGTTGGGGGAAAGTTTTGTTGTTGATTTCTCCCAATTATATACTGAACGTCATTGTGTTCAAGTTGTTCATTCTGTTGTTCATCTTGCTGCCACTGTGCGTGATTTTGGCCCACTAACAAGTTATACAACTTTCAATTTCGAAAATCAATTAGGTAAAATTATTTTAACACGATTTTTCAATGGTCCTTTTCTTTTCAGGATTGTTAACACGTACTTGCAAGAGTACGAGACGGCATGCGCAAGAAATTATTTCAAATTTGCAGTTATTACAGTCTGCACATGAACATCTTAATTCCCTCGACTGAAAGGAGGGTCATATAAAAAAAAAGTTTGTCTGTCTGTCTGTCTGTCTGTCTGTCTGTGTCAGGGTCAAAGGTCAAAGGTCAAAAAAACATTTTTTTTGAAAATGCTTAAAACTTCATAAAACATCGTTTGGAAGGGGTGTAGAGGGTAGATGTTGGTGGGGGATGCGTGATGGGGTCAAAAGAGCGCCGTAGAAGATGTGTTCAAAGGCGCACGAAACATTCGTTCAAGATATGGCATAGATCGTTAAAGACTATTCTCTATCTGACGCAGAAAAGATCAGATATAATGACTTGGTCGCCTGTATGATTCTTTGTATGTTTCCGCTTCACTGCTTGCTACAAGAATTAGGCAAAGGTATACAAGTGATTTCCCTGTAACAGTCCGTCGAGAAAATCGGTGACAATTGATTATAAATCTGGATCTAATTTTGTTCACCATTTTGTCTGTGCTTTGCTCTTTACTCAAGTAAATAGATTTTCAAATATTTATATGAAAATGTCGTCTAGGAATTTTTATGGGAAGGGTGCAATTCCTGATAATATAGCTATCCATACTCATGTATGAAGTACGCACAAACATAGAAAATTATGAATCTTAGCTATAGAAGTCACAATTTAGTTACATTGTTTGTTACTGCAAATCCCAAAGAGAACTATACTCCTTGTATATCTCTTGATCATTTTAGAGTCAAGACCATAAGTAATCTGCTTAAAACCGGTAATCTAGTGTTGGTGAGGAAGTCGCACGCCATTTGAGAAAGCTGTAATGCTATGCACAATATCGAGCAGTCGGGAGTGGCGGACCGCAGGGACGCCGACGACCGACTGCGAGATGGATGGGTTCATACATTGTTTGAAATGAGTAGAATGAAAAAGGCATCAGTCGAGGGTTAAGCGAGTTGGCCTCGACGAGCGTTACTTGTGATAATACTCTTGATATATCTTTCAAGAAACATTTGTTATCTGTTGTGGATGGTAAAGAATGCAAAGACAAAAGCTATATTTGTCCTTATCGAAAAACAATGAAAACCAATAAGTTTGCGAACATTCTTTTTCCACATTTCAAAATTACTTTTTTCAATCGATTACACATTGGGAAGCTGAAGTTATCTACTTCATCAAGTGCACTTGCTGTATCTGGTGATGACAGTACCATATTATTTAGAAATCGTGAACATTTATCCATGGGACGTATTCAGTCAATATTTACTGTGGTCGAGACGAATATTACTTTCTTATTAGTTGATTATCCAACAGTTTTCGAAGATTTGATTTGCTTATTACAAGATAGTGACGAGTTCAGATATTCGTCAATTCAAAACTGTTTAAAGAAGGACTTTTCTATTTGTCTAGTACAACTTTCTGACGTTATCGAAAAGTGTGTTTATTATGAACATCCTAATGGAAAATGTTGTTTCATACGCTTTCCACACTTGGAGCACTGTTCTTAAAGCTGATAATTTTTTATGTTTTATTTTATTTTTTTAACGACCGTTGTATGGAAATCATTTTAGTTTAGAGAAGATACATATTGAATACTGTTCGGTGAATCGGATAAAAATTGCGTTTGAAATGACAGTATTTATTCATGTTTAACTGTAAGTATACTTTGAAAATGTTTTTATACGTTTAACACTAATAAGCACTGCACCAAAACAATTAGTTATTACAAATTACTAATAACGATCTAATGTTTACATACAATACTTTTGAAAGCTAAACTATAATATAAAGCACTTCTTAAAACGGCAAAAATACTGTAAAGTACTTCAAAAAACATTAAAACTAGAAAAGTTTACTACATAACGAAGAATAGTATTATGAAGTACTTACAGAAATAAAACTTAGCAATAAATAATATTAGAAGTACTACTAGTCACCTCTGAAAGTCGCAGAGTATATAGACTTAAGATAGAAAGTACTTGAATTGCTTATAAGTACTTTTCAAAACCCAAAAGTACTTTAAAGTAACTTCCAAAATAGTTAAAGTTACTTTTGAAAGTGATAAAAGTGAAAACAAATACTTTCAGAAGTAATCAAAGTAAAAAATATTATTTTTGGAAGTAAAGAAAGTAGAATAAAGTACTTCTGTTCTTAAATATCTTAAACTGAACTACTTTTTGAGAAAAAAGTACTTTTAAGTACTTTAGAAAGTTTAAATTAGTGTTGATTTCTATTTCATAAAGTACGAAATAGTAGGAAAAGTTTAATAATTATACTTTATTACTAAAAATAGTGAAAATAAGTACTTTTTTGCCACTTTTTTTTTACATGGGAATGTTTTGGTGTGATGAGTTTTTTGTTTTGTGTGTGTATAGGATCATAACTTGATGAAGTAATCTTCAGCCATTTCGACGAGCTTCTATACATGTCTTTATTCATGAACTCATAAAAATTACATTCTCTTTTCATCTCGGCAAATGCTTTATCACATAATGTTAATGTTCCAATAAAGTTTTTCAATACAAGAGGAACACAATTCCAATAAGCAGCTGAATCAAAATTCATTAATGTGGATGTATCATAGGTAACTGTTTGATATAAATGTCGAAGACTTTTAATTGAATAACGAAGCTGTTCAATAACATTCATAAAACTTTCACACATTTGTTTTTCCTGTTGATTATCAAGTGGCACTGGACGAGTCCAAACAGGTGGTTTCGATAATGCTGAACGAATATAAACTGATACATCAGACAATCCAACATAAAGACCCTAAAATAAAAAGGAAATATCATTTGAAGATTTTTCGATAGAACAAAGACCAAGGTTCAGTTCATATCAAACTTAATTCATAGTTGCTTAGTTTTTCAAAGTGTAAGATATCGCCTAATTTGTTTTCTAAACGAGAACGAATTGAAGTTGTTCGAAGCATGCTTTCGGTTATTTTTTCTCTACGTCGACGAAGAATCAGTTCATGTTCTCCAGCAATATCTGCTAAAGAAACTACTAAACCATCTTCCAGTATAACGCATAACTAAGCACAGAGTTCTTCAAAACCATTCGAATACAAATTAATTTCTTCAGTAGTATCTGGACATGGTGGTCTCATTTCATACCTGGTTGATTTTCCATGAATATCACGTTTTGATGACATCTAAAATGTAAAGAAAAATCAAGTATTAAAAAAGAAATGTCTACGTACTCGTGTTTGCCTCCTTCGTTTTGGTCGAGATGGTAGTTTCCGCATATTTCCATGTTTAACTAAATTGTTCATACTAATATCATTATTATTGTTGACATCCATTACAGTTGATAACTGATCCTCTTCAAGCTGAATAGATTGGAATGGTTCTTCACTATAAACCTAGAAGTCAACCGAGAAACATTATACACATTAGTTATAATAGTCTTACGGGTGTCAATTGTTCCTTTTCAGTATTAATTTGTTTAGCAATTCCACTATTGATACTTGAAGGAGTTAAATATTGTTCTGAAAGTGTACATAGTTCGGTGTTACGAATAGATTGATGGACAGTACCAATCGACAAACATGCATCATCATCTGATAGTGTATGAACTGATAAATTAACATTACATGGTTCTTCAGTCAATTCTAAATTCTAGAAACAAATAATAAAGAGAACAGGTACGAAAATGAGTTAAATATTGATTTAATTTACTTTGGAGTGATCATTTAAAGACGAATTCATATCAGTTATGTCGTTACAATCATAGTTTGGTCGTTCATTTTCATTAGAACATGTAGTAGGAAATACATCAGTATTGTTGCTTGCAGTAGATAAATCATACGAAGTAATTGTAAATGTTGAACGATCACTAGTAACAACAGTTAAAGAAGAATTAGAATGTGGTAATTGTCTAGAGTAGCATTTTCTTCGCCTCGATCGACCAGCTCCGGAATTTATTGAAAGTGGTCCTATGTCATAAACAAGTGACTTGTAACAAGATAAATGTATTTGTTCATTAAAAAGTGACGAATTTAATTCTTTTTTTAGTCGACGGCGATAACCTTCACGAATCTTCTCTTCTCTTTCAATTGTACAGATTTTCGTAAATTGTGAACGACGATATCGACCTCGAGTACCACAAATAACACATAAAATACCTTTGGCAGGCATTAATTTTGACAAAATACAACTGAAAAATGACAGCCGGACGAACAAAATGTGTGTTACCTGTCGACGGTCATTTTTTCAATAACTATATCGACCAATGTAATACAGCTGTATCGACTGCGCGTAATGATTAAAGTAGCCAATAGGCATTTATTCATGGTTATCTTAAAAACAAGACGTAAGCCCTAAAATCTAACTTCACACAAAAATTGTACGTAAAAAATGGATCAAAATGATATCTACTAGAGCTCTCGGGAAATTGTCTAGATATGTGGCGCCACCACAATGTACATTTTTTGATAATGATTTGATGAGTCATCGCCCTTAGCGTCCATACCATATATATATACATCTTTTTGATGGTCAATACACCACATACGACATCTATAGAAAAATTATTTTCTGTTGAATCGTTAGATAATCTACCAATAGACGAATTTGACATTTTTTCTTCAACTAAAAATTAATCTATAGTTACAGATATTAATCAAAATAGAACAAGAAGACGTGCGATAATACCAACACCAAATCAACATAAAGAGAATCAGAAATTTGAAAAGATGACCGATACTCAATTTAATAAAGATGAACAGTTGAACGTTATCGATAATCAGGTTGATAATTTGTCTGACGAAGATTCAAATCATACTCATCATGTAAAAGAGATGAAAAGTGAAGTAAAAAACGATCTCGATTCTAAAGAAAAAACAACTATATCAAAATTGACATCTGTTGAAGATATTTTAAATGTAGATGTGTTCGATGATTTCATTTTGCAGAATTTCACTCCTTTTTCAGAAAAAACTGACGTTGTACAGTGGTTTGATGAAACAGAAGATAAATTCAAACAATTCCGTATGGGTACAAATGCTCGTTACAAGGCTATATCATTCCTAACTACAGGAGACGGTAAACGAAAATATGTGAAACATCGTAAAGAGATACAATCTTTTGACGATTTCTATGAGTTTTTATTAGCAGAATTGGACTCTCTTTCTGATGCAACTTATACAACAAAACGTTCACATAGTGTAACGTTTTTGACAGATAATCTTAAGAATTCAACTCGAATTGAGCCTGAACTCATTCCAAAACCTTCAACTGCTAATAATGACATTTCAACTGTGTCCTTTCAGCGATCAATAGCTAATGACAGTACAGCAATGGTTCACAGAGACATTGCCAATTCTTTTAACGGCAGACCTTCTGTCTTATCAACTACAAGTTCTAGTCATTCTTCCACAATGGATCTCGATCAGAACCTTAATGATCTTCGTAGAGCTATTGTACAAGATTTGATTAAGAATCCAAAAGTATTTAAAGGTGGTAAAGACAATGTAAAAAATGGATAGAAGATACCGAACATCTTTTTGATGTTACACATATACCAGAAACGATTCGTCTTGATTTGATTTCGTATTCTCTACGCGGTGATGCGTTAGAGTGGTTCAAAAATAATCGTTCGTTATTGACCTCATGGAGTGTATTCATTATTGAATTAAAGAGAGCTCTTACTTGATCTTTTCATGAAGAACTACACTGTAAAAAAAATAAGAGCACTCCTGAACCCCTCAAAAAGGTTTCGTAGTTTTGTGAAATGCTCTAAATGCTTCCAAACGTCTAAAAAACGAATAAAAAAATCTGGGAAACCTTAAAAGATATCGGCGGGTGGGCACACTCTCGGAACCATGTTTCGTAAAACTCCTTTTCATGCTATAAAGAACTTTAAAAGGTTTTGTGAGAAAACTT